AAGCTTAGAAATCAATTGGGACCTAAATAATGAGTTTTAAAACCCAAAAACCATTTTCGTGCAGAAAATAACATGTGCATCACAGCTTACAGCTTGTGCACCACGGCGTGTCTTTTCTATGCCATGCGTCATGGCATGAGGCACCATGTGTCACAGTGCATTGCACAAAATTTGATAGATCAGTGCTATCATTTAAGAGCACAGGGAGTGGACTTCTGACTCGTCCCAAAACTTCGTTTGACATCCGATTGAGGTGGTTTCAATGTCTACATGTAGCTTTTTCCTAGCTCTAACTAATAGTATAGGTTTCATATTCAAACTCATTTTCTATAAGAAGTTCGATACCAAAACCCATTTCAACCACATTTTCACAAAATTTCCTAAATGGGGTGTCCCAAATCAACCACACGTGTCAATAGCTTACACAAACCATCCGACCATACTCAATGGACTCTTACAGACTCATGCAACACACCACACTCAACCAATGATGCTTATTTCACAAAATCACCACTCAACCCTGGTTTTGACAAAACATATAGGGGGAGGAAAAGTTGCACAAAATCAACCATTTCATTCATATTTTGCAAAAATACATTTGGTCCTACTTGTACAAGTATTTTAGCCCTATCCACAAGTTCACAACAAAAACTCATTAACCTAGGGCATAAAATACACTATTTAAACACAAAAGCATGCAAGTAGTGCACCAATCATGACAATTAATCCTAGTTGGTAATTACATTAACAAATACACATGTAAAGAGCAAAAGAGAGGTATATAAAGGATTACTCCATGAAATCTAAGCCTCTATATGTTTTCCCTGACTTAGATCCAATGAGCAAGGTCCTAAAAATAGTCAGAAATGATGGGTGAGTACAACCACTTAGTAACCAAGTTTAACTTCACCAATACAGTTGCATATCAATCATAAAAAGATGCAATTATACACATAAACACATATTTCACATAGTACTAAGCCATGGTTCACAAAACTAATACCCATGTGACCAGGCTTGCCACAAAACACCATATCATGTTATTTCATAAAAACATAACACAGGGTCATAAAAATAACAACTATGCACCCTTAACAAGTGTCAGACCATAAAACTAACAACCATATGGCTGAATTTATATACATGATCATATGCTAACCTTATATCCTCCTGTCACCTCTGACACGAAATCGGTGGCCATCACATGGCTAAGTCCTTCACGGACTAACCTAGCCTTTCACTTATGAGGAGCTACTGGGCCAGGGTTAACTCACTTACTTATGTAATCTAGTTTTCCTAAATACTAACAACCATGGGGTGTCGTACCCCTAATCTAGCCTCCTCATGAATTGGTAGAGAATAGTTAGGTTCGAGTCCCTCATAAAACAAGTGAGATAGTCCTAAATCAATTATGGGACAAGGACTATCTCTCGATTCTAATGGTCGGTGCCAAGGCTAGTTCTCGATTCTAACAGTCACTGCCAATACCACATGGATTTTAACCAATCTACTCCTTACCCTAGGCAAACTCTTGCCAATGATCATACTATGCACATTTCATACATAATATGCATTTTAACAATCCTTTCTTAACACATGAACTCACATGACACAAATACTCCATAATTTAACAAATAATTCCTCACAATTCTCCATCTATAGTAATAAATCACAATTAATTTTATAAAACATCAAAGGTGGTATAATCAAGGTTTTCTCTTTCCCAAAACCATTTCACAATCAAGTATTTGCCAATATGTATTATTAGTTTGACTCACAAATCACATTTTACAACATAATTAACATTCAACTATAAAAATTAAGTTTCCTCCTGTTACCTCAAAACTTTAAGAGGTCAAAGGTTTACCCCTCACTATATCAACTCCCCAAAGTTTCAACAAGCTCGATTGGTGCCAAAATGAACCTCTATTCATCCAAACCACAAGAACATCATCATTACTTAACTCTTAAACTTATCAATATAAAACTCCACAAACAATATTTTAACCGAATCATAATAACTACCCATTTATACCCAATAGGCTTATTAGATTTTATTAATGCACATTATCATTGATAACACCTCAAACCATCATTAATGCACATTAACCTCTCTCAACTACCTCATAAATGCCAATTTTTGGATATTAAATGGTCCCATTGACCAATCACTTCCAAAATCATAAGTATGGTGTTCTAATACATTAAACAACCCCAATTTAACTTATTTTAACTAATGGGATCAAACCTATACTTCTATGGACCGAAAATCTATCTCCTAACTCAAACCCTATCATAAATCATTACAAATGAGGAAGAGAAAAGAAGAAGAAGGCACCATGATCTTACCTTGGGTGTTTGGGAGCTTCAATCTATTAACAATGGAACCCAAAGTCGTGCCCTAGTAGAGCCACAACCGAGCTCTTCATTTTCTTCCTCTTTCTCTCTTCTATTTTCACACAGCTCGCGAGCTGCTTTATCTGATTTTTGGCTGTAAACCTCGGCATATGCTGCCCTTCGGTATAGCGCATGGCACAGAGGAGCCTATTACATTTAAATTATCTTCGTGCTCTATGGTGGACAAACCACGTGTCACAATGTGTGACACAAAAAACAATTATTTACTTTTTCATCCTCTTTCCTTGCCTGGGTAGCTCACCATAGATCTGGACCCACTTTCAGGGCTGAAATCATAACAACTATGCCAGGTTAAGCCCCTATGGCCACATACATTTTTAACTCACTAACTACCCTAATTAAGTTAATAAATCAGGGTTAAAATTTTTTAAATGTTTCAACTCTCCCCTCCTTTTAAGAATTTATCCCTAAAATTCGACAAGTCATATACATCTTATCTTACTGAAAAAGATAGGGATACTGTTGCCTCATTTTCTCCTCCATTTCCCAAGTGGCATCACCAGGAGTCATTCCCTTCCATATCACTTTCACTAAATGGATAGTCTTGTTTCTTAGCTACTTATCTTTCACATCAGCTATTCTTTTTGGCTCAGTCTGGTAAGTCATTCTCTCATAGTTCTCCATCTTCTAGTTCAATAATGTGAGATGGATCGGGTTGGTACTTCTTAAGTTATGAGACATCAAACATGTCATATACACCCGATAGATGTAGGGGTAATGCAATCCGACATGCTAAAGGCCCAATCTTCTCTAGAATCTCAAACAGACCAATGTATTTAGGAGTCAACTTCTTGGCTTGAATATACCTCCTAATACCAGTCATAAGCGATACCTTCAAGAATATATGGTCTCTAACCATAAACTCTCACGGTTTCTTTCTCTTATCTACATAACTCTTTTGTCAACTTTGGGCAGTCAACAATTTCTGTCAATTACCTCTATCTTCTTTATGGTTTGATCCACCAATTCTAAACCCAAAACACTTCTCTCACTTAAGTCAGTCCAACAAAGAGGCGATTGACACTTTCAACCATACAAAGCTTCATACATAGCTATCTGAATACTTGCATGAAAGCTGTCGTTACAAGCAAACTTCGCAAGTGGTAAGTGTTTGTCCTAACTTCCACTAAACTCAATAGCACATGCTCGTAACATATCCTTTAGAGTTTGAATCATTCTCTCAGTTTAACCATCGATCTGTGGGTGATAGGCCATACTAAACATCAATTTTGTACCCATAGCCTGGTGTAAAGCTCTTTAAAAGTTTTATGTGAACCTCAGATCGTGATTTGACACAATCTCTTTGGTACCCCATACAACCATACTATCTCTTGAACATAAACCTCAGTAAATCTCTCTATGGCATAGTCTGCTCTAATGGCTAGGAAGTGAGTCGACTTAGTCAATCTGTCCACAATCACCCATATAGCATCATGACTTGCCTATGTACATGGAAATCCTATTATAAAATCCATAGACACACTATCCCATTTTCACATTATGTTTTCCAAGGGTTGCAATAGTCCAAGTAGCCCCTGGTGTTCTATCTTGACTTTTTAACATGTCAAACACCTAGAAATGAACTCAGTCATATCTTGCTTCATTCCGTGCCACTACCACCGCTTCTTCATATCTTGTTATATTTTAGTGGCACTAGGGTGAATTATTAGCTTACTCCTGTCAGCTTCTGATAGTATAGTCTCTCTAATCTCTTTATCATCAGGAATACACATACGGTCGTGATACAACACAAAACCATGATCACTAAAACCAATAGCCGTCATTCACTTTTCCTTAATGTCCTCCCAAATATCTAATAAATACTCATCTTCTAATTGTGCCTTTCTCAATTCTTTCCAGAATTTACTTGTAATCATTATGACATTCAAGTTGTATGATGCAAAATTAGGAACATTCTTGTGCTCATTAGAGAAATCATCTAGCATCTTGTGCTCTTGCATCATCAAGAATGCTACATGTAATGTCTTCTAGCTCAACGTATCTGTTACTGCATTAGCCTTACCAGGAGTCCATCAAGAACTCCATCCATCTCCACTATCTCAGGAGTCCATCAAGAACTCCATCCATCTCCACTATCTCATATTCAACTCCTTCTGGTCAACTAGATATTTGAGGCTTTTGTGGTCATTGTACACCTCAAATTGCACACCATAAAGTTAATGTCTCCATATTTTAAGCATAAACACTACTGTCGCAAGCTCAAGATTGTGAGTAGGATAGTTCTCCTCATGTGGTCTTAATTGTCCTAAAGCATATGCAATAACTCTATCATTTTGCATTAAAAAACATCTAAGACCCTTAAGTAAAGCATTCGTATACACTATAAATGGCAATTTCAAATTTGGAATGGTTAACACAGGTGTAGTCGTCAATCTCTATTTCAACTCTTGGAAAGCCTTTTCACACTTGTCAGTCTACATGAAAGGATGATCTTTCTTAGTCAATTTGATTAAACCAGATGCAATCTTGGAAAATTCTTGAATAAACATTTTATAGTATCCTGCTAGACCTAAGAAACCTCAGATCTTGATCACAGAAGTCAGTCTTTCCTATTATAGCACCGCATCCACCTTATGAGGATCAACAGCAATACCACTGGCTAATACTACATAGCTTAAAAACTTCACTTCAAGCAACCAAAACTCACATTTACTCAGCTTCGCATAAAGCTTCTTCACTTTCAAAGTTTGTAACACCATCCGCAAGTGCTTAACATGTTCTTCCTCATCAACCAAATATATTAAAATATCATCAATAAAGACTACTATGAATTATCCAAGTAGGGCCTAAAGATTCAATTCATATAATTTATAAAGATTGTGGGTGCATTTGTAAGCCCGAAGGGTATAACAAGAAACTCATAATGCCTATATCTCATTCTAAAAGAAGTCTTCAGCACATCATCCATTTTCACTCTTAACTGGTGATAGCCGGATCTTAAGTCAATCTTAGAGAATACCACTGCTCTAGCCAACTGATCCAACAAGTTGTTAATTCAACGTAATGGATACTTATTCTTAATTGTCACTTTATTCAACTGTTGGTAGTCTATGTACAATCTCAAGTTACCATCTTTCTTCCTAACAAATAGAACAGGCAAACCCCAAGGTGAAATGTTACATCTAATCAACCCCTTCTCCAATAACTCCTCTAGCTACTTCTTAAGCTGATTCAATTCTGTCGGAGCCATCTGATATAGAGCCTTAAAGATTGGCTTAGTATCAGGTACCAAGTTGATTGAGAACTCAATCTCTCTCTCTGGTGGCAATCCTGACACTTTGTCTGCGAAGACCTCAGGAAACTCACTGATAACCCTAATCTTGTCTATTGCTCTATCATACACTCCGTGTACTGACAAAAACACCATAAAAGCTTGACATCCCTCCTTCATCGATTTCTCTATTTGCACTACTGATAGGAACTTAGGAGTCTCTGAAGTAGTAACAGGTACAGACTGTGTAGTCTCATCATTTATTGTAGCCGCCATGTACACTAGTAACGAAACTATATTTCTATTATAGTTTAATGTCACTCTATTAGCAGACAACCAATCCATGTCAATTATCACGTCAATTCCTGATATGGTCAAACAAATCAAATTAATAATTATAGCTATTTCACCAAATTTCAACTCTACTTTCAAGTAAGCTCGGCTGGTTCTTACTAAAGCACTAGTTGGTGTAGACACATTCATTATGAAAGGCATTTCAACCATATGGAAACTCAGTCTTTGTGCACACTCATCAGAGGCAAACGAGTAAGTGGCACTAGAATCAAACAAAGCAGAAATTTATTGATTGCTTAAAGAAATCATACCTCGAATAAGCTTTAGGGAAGCTTCAGCCTCTTCCTTCATCATAGCAAACACATGACCAGGAATAGTAGACCTCTGACTAGTGTGAGGAGCATTCTCGAGGCAATACCATGCAATGTGCCCAACCTTATGGTACTTAAAACATGTCCAGCACTCCTAATGTAATGTCTCCCATACTCATTGCATTGTAGGGCTCTAATTAATTCAGCTACCATAGGAGTAGAATCTTATCTCGAAGCTTGACTCCACCCACCCATACTCTCGGGGGCATTACTCCTTATCTGGGAACATCTAAAATGTAAACCCCTCTGGAAACTTCTCTTCTTATTATCACTGCTACCCAATCAAGATAGTCCAGAGTTATAACCAAGTCTCTTGCCAACACCTCTAGTAGGACCTGTATATGTAGAGAAACAGTCCCTACCATCTCTCCTCTAGCTATCCTTAGCCTCACGATGTCACCTAGCCACTACTTTTAACTTTATGTGCATGTCATTACATGAGACAATATCGAAAGGTGCCAACTATTCTTTGTAATCAGGCCACATCTTCTTAAGTAACTGCTCAGCCTTTCAATACTCATCATCATAATTCATCAAGTAGGTCAAGTATTTGGATAACTCGTTGAACATAGTTATGAATTCTTCTTCATTCATGTTCCCTTGCTATAACTGGTTGAACTCAGCCTCTTTCTCAGCTCTAAAGGAGGCAAGAAAATAGTATGAGAAAAATCTCCTCTTGAACTCACTCCATGACAATGGAGACCCATCCACTGGTCTTACACTCTCCCACCATTGCTTGACAGCATCCTTAAGCAAGAATGTAGCAAATAATAGACACTGCTCAAATATGCACGTCATAACAGAAAAGATAATCTCCAACTTATCTATCAACCTCTCAGCTACTCTATTCTCTATGAAACCCTCAAATGTTGGAGGATTCAACCTTATGAACTTCTTTAAGGTTAAATCAATAGAGATTTCTTGCTCTCTTTCTCTAAGCCTTACTGGTTCAGGCCTCCTTAGTCTACTCTCTTTATAATAATCCTCTTCTTTTCCCCTCTCTAGTCTTTCTCCATGATGATTGCCGACTCTCTCTACAGTCTTACTTGACTCTTCTAGTCTTTTTGTTAGAATCTAATCATGCTCATCAATTCTCTATTCAATTCTTTCCATCATGATTTTTAACTCAAGCAATATATTCTCATTACCTGTTATAGGCCTTGGTTGCTCTCTAGCTTGTCCCGAGCCTTGTCCCATCTCAATATGCTCACTAGAGATAATGTTCTCCTTTTGTACCAAGACTTCCTATAACATTTGAAAACTTCAAATCTATAAAAAGTTAATTAATTAAGGGATAAATTAATTAAAAATATGATTAATTTATTTAATTATGTTTTTGGGTGGCTAATTTGATTTTTGGGACATATTTTGCTCTAAATTGAGTTAGGATGAAAGTCAGATCAAGTCGGAAGGCATCGGGGGAAGCAAAATCAACTTGTTACTTACTGCATCATGAGTCGCAGTTTGCGTGGTGTGCGTTGCGGTGCACGGCACAGTAGGCAACTTAAAATTTCACAAATCATCAAAAATTGACAAATTTTGGGGTGGAAAACCTAGAACACGAAGGGGGCAACTTTGGGCACTGCTAGGGTTTAGGGTTTAAGAGGATTTTAAAGATAATTTGAGCCTTTAAATTCTTGAATAAGTTTCCTACCCTTTTCCTCTACCTTTTCATCTCATTTTCCATGGGATTTGAAAGAGGGCGAATTTGGTCTGATTAGATTAAGCCATGAGTCAATGTTTTGAAGGTTTCTATTGACTCTGAAGGTTTGATTTAGGTTTATTGATCTTGGATATGTGGTAATACGAAGCTACTTTTTTGTTTAGTGGAAGTTAGATTAAGCCCTAACTTGATCATGGGGTTTTGAAGTGTGATAAGTTGAGATATTAAGTGTTATGATGTGATAGAGTTAAAGGGAGGCTTAAAGGGATTGTATGAACAAATTCTAGTCTTAACAAGTCTATTTGTTGAGAATATGAGTGACAAGTAGGAGAATTGGGAGGTTATTAGTGGCTAATAGTGTTTGTGTCAATTGAAAATTAACATATAGTACTTGTTAATGTAGATTGTGGTGTGGGAAGACTTACCTTAACACAAGAAGAGAATTAGTACCACGGGTAACCCTTTTAGTAACAAAAGGGTTGAGGTAACTAGATAATTTTCATTGCTTATTACCTTGTATAAGTTATTCTCAAGTTGCTTTTTGATGATTTGTTGAGTATATATGTATAAATTCTTTAAACGTTAACTATTTTAGAAAATGAGTGGAGTATTACTTTGTGAAATTCTATATTTTTGAAGTAAATGGTAAGATTTATTATATTTGTTTGGAAAGTTTTTTATGCATGGTCAAGTGGAGATATTTAGTGAAATGTGACATATTAGAGGGTGGGAGGTCACCCTAGTAGAGATAGTGAAGATTAAGTCTATATGGCATCTCTGGCACCTTGGGATGCTAGGTGCAACACTTACTCTAAAAACAGTTTGTATTGGTATTTATTGATGACATTCTAATATATTCTAAAAACAAGGAGCAGTATGTAAAGCATTTGAGAATTGTGCTACAAATTTTGAAGGATAATAAGCTCTATGCTAAGCTTAGCAAGTGTGAGTTCTGGCTATGAGAGGTCTGATTTCTACAACATGTTGTGTTAGCAGAAGGGATTGCAGCGGATCCACATAAAGTAGATGCAGTGTTGAAATGGGAGAGACCTAGTTTTGTGACTAAAATACAGATTTTTTTAGGATTGGCTGGATATTATTGAAGATTTATCTAGGGTTTCTCTCAGATAGCTTCATCATTGACTAGGTTGACTCAAAAAGATCAGCTGTTCATTTAGGATGTGCGAGATTGCATTCTAAAGTTGAAGGAGAAACTGACAATAGCATCGGTGTTAATTATTCCTAATCCACGATTGCCATATGAAGTGTATACAGATGCATCTCTAAAAGGTTTGGGATGTGTGTTGATGCAAGATGAGTGGGTAGTGGCTTATGCCTCTAGACAACTCAGGCCACATGAAGAGAATTACCTGACCTATGACTTAGAGCTTGCCGCAGTTGTGTTTGCACTAAAGATTTGGCGGCATTATTTGTATAGAGTAGTGTTCAGTGTTTTCAGTGACCACAAGAGCCTGAAATATTTAGTGGATCAGAAGGAACTTAATATGAGGCAAAGAAGGTGGATGGAGTTCTTGAAGGACTATAACTTCAAATTTAAATACCATATGGGGAAAGCAAATGTGGTAGCAGATGCCTTAAGTCGAAAGTCATTGCATGTCACTTGTCTAATGGTACAGGAGCACAAATTACTGGAATCCTACTTGGATATTCAGTATGACTCACTAGAATTTACTTTGTGTTGCCTACATTCCACAGAAATTACCAATAAGTTTTGGAGAGAGTTAAGGATAGCGCAGCTTGAGGATAAGTATCTATTGAAAATTCAAGAAGATGTGCAGGAAAGGTGAACTACAGACTTTGGTTTCAGTGATGATAGATTTGTTGTGTATCGAGATTGGGTTTGTATACTAGATGAGGGAAATTTGAGAAAGAAAATTCTAAATGAGGCACATAAGAGTAGATATACAATTCACCCTGGAGAAACTAAGATGTACCAGGATATAAAGTGATATTGGTAGTGGCCTAGAATGAAAAGGGATGTTACAGATTTTGTGTCTCGATGTTTAATTTATCAAAAGGTTAAAATCAAGTATCAGAGATGAGCAGAGACTTTACAACCCCTAGAGATACTAAAGTGGAAGTGGGATAATATATCTATGGATTTCATTTCACGATTACCAAGAACCCAATTCAGTCATG